AGAGAGAGATTGGGAGAGAGAGAGAGAGAGAGAGAGAGAGAGAGAGAGAGAGAGAGAGAGAGAGAGAGAGAGAGAGAGAGAGAGAGGAGAGAGAGAGAGAAGGGAGAGGGAGAGGGAGAGGGAGAGGGAGAGGGAGAGGGAGAGGGAGAGGGAGAGGGAGAGGGAGAGGGAGAGGGAGAGGGAGAGGGAGAGGGAGAGGGAGAGGGAGAGGGAGAGGGAGAGGGAGAGGGAGAGGGAGAGGGAGAGGGAGAGGGAGAGGGAGAGGGAGAGGGAGAGGGAGAGGGAGAGGGAGAGGGAGAGGGAGAGGGAGAGGGAGAGGGAGAGGGAGAGGGAGAGGGAGAGGGAGAGGGAGAGGGAGAGGGAGAGGGAGAGGGAGAGGGAGAGGGAGAGGGAGAGGGAGAGGGAGAGGGAGAGGGAGAGGGAGAGGGAGAGGGAGAGGGAGAGGGAGAGGGAGAGGGAGAGGGAGAGGGAGAGGGAGAGGGAGAGGGAGAGGGAGAGGGAGAGGGAGAGGGAGAGGGAGAGGGAGAGGGAGAGGGAGAGGGAGAGGGAGAGGGAGAGGGAGAGGGAGAGGGAGAGGGAGAGGGAGAGGGAGAGGGAGAGGGAGAGGGAGAGGGAGAGGGAGAGGGAGAGGGAGAGGGAGAGGGAGAGGGAGAGGGAGAGGGAGAGGGAGAGGGAGAGGGAGAGGGAGAGGGAGAGGGAGAGGGAGAGGGAGAGGGAGAGGGAGAGGGAGAGGGAGAGGGAGAGGGAGAGGGAGAGGGAGAGGGAGAGGGAGAGGGAGAGGGAGAGGGAGAGGGAGAGGGAGAGGGAGAGGGAGAGGGAGAGGGAGAGGGAGAGGGAGAGGGAGAGGGAGAGGGAGAGGGAGAGGGAGAGGGAGAGGGAGAGGGAGAGGGAGAGGGAGAGGGAGAGGGAGAGGGAGAGGGAGAGGGAGAGGGAGAGGGAGAGGGAGAGGGAGAGGGAGAGGGAGAGGGAGAGGGAGAGGGAGAGGGAGAGGGAGAGGGAGAGGGAGAGGGAGAGGGAGAGGGAGAGGGAGAGGGAGAGGGAGAGGGAGAGGGAGAGGGAGAGGGAGAGGGAGAGGGAGAGGGAGAGGGAGAGGGAGAGGGAGAGGGAGAGGGAGAGGGAGAGGGAGAGGGAGAGGGAGAGGGAGAGGGAGAGGGAGAGGGAGAGGGAGAGGGAGAGGGAGAGGGAGAGGGAGAGGGAGAGGGAGAGGGAGAGGGAGAGGGAGAGGGAGAGGGAGAGGGAGAGGGAGAGGGAGAGGGAGAGGGAGAGGGAGAGGGAGAGGGAGAGGGAGAGGGAGAGGGAGAGGGAGAGGGAGAGGGAGAGGGAGAGGGAGAGGGAGAGGGAGAGGGAGAGGGAGAGGGAGAGGGAGAGGGAGAGGGAGAGGGAGAGGGAGAGGGAGAGGGAGAGGGAGAGGGAGAGGGAGAGGGAGAGGGAGAGGGAGAGGGAGAGGGAGAGGGAGAGGGAGACTTATGACTATACACTTTTCCATTTTCTTCTGCTTTGGTTAAAGACATTGAAAAAAAAGTTCGTTATATTTTAAAAATTTCCTCACTCGTGAAATTTAAGCCAGTATTTTTTTTTTCTTTTTTTTTGCTTCTCTTTCTTTGTCTTCGTCTTCTTCCTTCTATAAAATTCACGAGGATATTTAAGGAGTCATGCGAGGAAGATTCCAACGATATACCGTATGTTTTTTTTTTTTTTTTTAATCCTTTCACCTTTTTTCGATTTCTTTTTTCTTCTTCTGCTCCTTCTCTCTCTCTCTCTCACTTTTTTATTTCACAGAAAAAATAAATGCAAAGAACATTCAAACGATACTTTAACAAGTCACTTTCCTTTCTTCTCCTTCCTCTGTTTCTTTCTCCAGCTTCTTATTCCTCTGTTTCTTCCTTTAACCTTCCTACTGTTTCTTTTCCTTTTTCGTAAACTTCTTTCCACCCCCCCCCAAAAAAAAAAAAAAAAAAAAAAAAAAAATCTAAAAAGACATTTAGCCTATAAACTTTTTTCCTTCTTCTTCTTCTTCTTCTCATTCGTTTTTTTTTCTCTCCTTCATCACCTTGTCCTTCTTTCCGGAATTCCCCGCAAGTATTTGGTGAGAATTTTTTAAAAACTTTCGAAATATTTACTTTTCCCTCTTTCTTCTTTTTCTACTTCCACTTCTTCTTCTTGTTCTTCGTCTTTTTTTTCTTCTTGTTCTTCGTCCTTTTTCCTTTCATCTTCCCGAAATATCCCCTCCCCCCCCTTGATTTAAGAGCCACGCAGAAACCATTGTGAAAAATAAAATAAAAGAAAGAAAGAAAGAAAGAGTTTAAAACTTTTTTTCTTTTTTTTAGACGATTCTTAAAAAGTTTTTTTCTTTCCTTCTTTTCATGATTTTCTTCATTTGCTGATTGTTATCCCCCTATTCGCCATTTCCTTTTTATCTCGAAAATTTCCGATATATATGTATATATATATAATATAAGAGAAAGAAAATAACTTTCCACTTCTCTTTTATTCTCTCATTCTCCCTCCTTCGTTATCTTCTTCATTTCATATTTTCCATGAACTTTCTATACACACACAAAGAAAAAGAAGAAAGAAAGAAAGAAAGAAAATTAGTTACTCTCCTCTTCCTCTTCTCTTTCATTCACTCCTCCCTCTTCCCCCCTTCGTCGTCGTCTTCTTTACGAAATTTCAACCCAAGAAAACATTTAAGACTCCTGTCGGGGGTATTCCGTATTTGGGGATTGAGGAAACCGGCTCTCTCTCTCTCTCCTTTTCTTTCTTTTTCCTTCTTTTTCTGTCTCTCTCTCTCTTTCTCTTTTCTTCTTCTCTCTCTTTTTCCTTCTTTTTCTATCTCTCTCTCCTTTTCTTCGTCTCTCTCTTTCCTTCTCTTTCTGTCTCTCTCTCTTTCCTTCTCTTTCTGTCTCTCTCTCTTTTCTTCTCTTTCTGTCTCTCTTTTCTTCTCTTTCTGTCTCTCTTTCCTTCTCTTTCTGTCTCTCTCTTTCCTTCTCTTTCTGTCTCTCTCTTTCCTTCTCTTTCTTTTTCCTCTCTCTCTCTCTCTCTTTCCTTCTCTTTCTCTCGTCTCTCTCTCTCTCTTTCTTTCACTCTCCTCCTCTTCTCTCTGTCTGTCTGTCTCTCTCTTTTATTTATTTTTATTAATTTATTTGTTATTTGGTGTTTCCTGTTTAGTATTATCATTTCCTGCACCTTTATATCTATTTGTATTATTTTCAACAATTTCCTCTCTGATTTTTCCCAGTTCCTGTTTTATCTCGTTTTCTCGCTCTTTTAACGTTAATAATCTATCGCTTTCCCTTGTCGTTTATTTATTTTTTTATTGTTCTTATTACCATGATTCGCTTCTAATGAAAGTAAAAGCAGTGATATTAATGATAGTTATATGAGTATCTATTGTAATCATAAAAAAAAATAATAATAACAGTAACTTATGTAAACAAAACCAATGAAAACAATGGTAAAAACAGAAATGTTAATTAAATATGAAATAATGAATAAATTATAAACATGTAGTAACTTGTGATGATAAAACGACGATAACGATAACCATGAAGAGAAAGTGAACAATACGGTTATTTTTATTTATTTTCTCTCTCTCTCTCTTTTACTCCCTCTTAGCAAATTATTGTTTATTTTCAAGTTTATTTCTTCTCCCTCATTCTCCACCACAACACCAACATTCCTTATTCTCGTTCTCTTTCTCCCTCATTCTTCTCCATCACACTCCCACCATTCATTTTTTCTCGTTTTCCTTCTCCCTCATTTTCCTCCATCACACCCTCACCATTCCTTCTCCCTCATTTCCCTCCATCACATCACCAATCCTTCTCATTTTCTTTCTCACTCATTCTCCTCCATCACACCCTCACCATTCCTTCTCCCTCATTTCCCTCCACCACATCACCACCATTCATTTTTCTCATTTTCCTTCTCCCTCATTTTCCTCCATCACACCCCACCATTCCTTCCCTCATTTTCCTCCATTCATTTTTTTCTCATTTTCTTTCTCCCTCATTCTTCTCCATCACACCCCCACCATTCATTTTTCTTGTTTTCCTTCTCCCTCATTCTCCTCCATCACACCCCCACCATTCCTTCTCATTTTCTTTCTCCCTCATTCTCCTCTATTCATTTTTTCTCATTTTCCTTCTCCCTCATTTTCCTCCATTCATTTTTTTCTCATTTTCCTTCTCCATCTCTCAATTCCTCAAGTCAATCAAATCAATACAAGACAATATCTTGCTTAAAACGAAGGTGTTCTTGACAAGCGTGTCAGCTCGTATCAAGGAGGGAAGAAGCTGTCATGTCATTTTCCTTTAATGTCATGTTGACTCGACCAATTAAGGCATGTCTTTGGAGCCAGAGAATCGACCTTTCGTGTTCAAACTGTGTTCTTGTTCTCCTGAAGAAGATCAAGAAGAGAGAGACGGGAATTAAAGTCGGGTTTTGATTGTCTTGCACTTTATTCCTTATTTTCTCTATCTCTCTCTCTCTCCTCACTCACTCTCTCTCTCTATTTCCTTTTCTCCTTCTCTCATTCCTTCTCTTTCTTTCTTTCTCTATTAGACCCACTCACTCTCTTTCTATTTCCTTCTCTCTCTCTCTCTCTCTCTCTCTCTCTCTCTCTCTATTTCCTTCTCTTTCTCTCTCTCTCTCTATTTCCTTCTCTTTCTCTCTCTCTCTCTATTTCCTTCTCTCTCTCTCTCTTTCTCTCTCTCTCCCTCTCTCTTTCTCTCTCTCTCTCTCTCTCTCTCTCTCTCTCTCTCTCTCTCTCTCTCTCTCTCTCTCTCTCTCTCTCTCTCTCTGTCTTTCATGCAGTCATTTCCTCATCTCCTTCCCTCCCCCTTCTCCTCCACCTAATCCAACTATTTCCTTTTTCTCAATGCATTCTCCTCCCTTACCTATCCAGTCTTTATCTGTCAGTCTATGTGTTTCTCTCTCTCCGTCACTCTCCCTCTCTCTCTCTCTCTCATCCCCCCTTTTCTCTCTTTCTCTCTCTCTCTCTCTCTCTCTCTCTCTCTCTCTCTCTCTCTCTTCGCTCTCACTACCCGTTTTCTCGCTCTTTCACATATAATATATCCCCCCCCCTCTCTTTCTCTTATACGCTCTCTACTCTGTCACACACACACTCTCTCTTTTCCCTTTCTCCTTCTCCCTTTTCTTCTCTCCTCTTTAATTCCCTCCCTCTCTCTCTCTCCTTCCCTCTCTCACACGCCCTCTCTTTCCCATTCTTCCCTCTCCTACACGCTCTCCCTCTTTTCCTTCTCTCACACTATATCCTCCCTCCCTCTCTTTCTTCCTCTCTCCCCCTCCCCTCTCTCATCCCCCCCTTCTCCTCCCCATTTCCCCCTCTTCTCCTCCCCATTTCCTCTCATTCTCCCCCTCCCCCCCCGCCCGTCCTTTCCCTCCCTCCTTCTTCTTCCCCATCTCCCCCCCCCCCCCCCCCATTTTCATCATGCGCGCAGCTTCCCCGGAGGACTTGGCACAGAGCCCTGGGGTCCTTTTACAAGTCCGAGTCACTGAACAAACTAACCAGTCTTGAACCCACGCGTGGTCACCCTCTACCCCCCCCTACCCCCCCGTCCTCTGTCCCCCCCCCCCATACTCCTGTTCCTCTTCCCCCCTGCCCCCTTCCCCCCCCATACTCCTGTTCCTCTTCCCCCTGCCCCTTCCCCCCCTGTTCCTCTTCCCCCCCTACTACTGTTCCTCTTCCCCCTGCCCCCTCCCCCCCCTGTTCCTCTCCCCCCATACTCCTGTTCCTCTTCCCCCCTGCCCCCCCCCCCCCCCCCCCATACTCCTTGCTCCTTGCCCCTCTGCTCTCTGGCTCTCTGCTTCTGAGCCTACTTCTTGTTCCTTGGTTCTTTCTTCTTATTCCCCTGTTCTCTGTTCTCTGTTCCTTATCTCCTGCTCTCTGTCCCCCTGTTCATGCTTTCTGTCCCTTACCCCCCCTACCCCCTGCCCCCTGCTCTCTGCTTCCGTTCCCTGTTATTGTTCCCTTCTCTATTCTCTTCTGCTTCCCTTTACCCCCTACTTTCTTCCGTCCACTTCCCTCCCCTGTTCTCTCTGCCCATGTTCTCCTGGGCAAGGGTGAGGGTGAGGATGAGGGGAGGATGAAGGCGAGGGTGAGGTGAAGGTGAGGATGAGGGTGAGGATGAAGGCGAGGGTGAGGATGAAAATGAGGGTGAGGATGAAGGCGAGGGTGAGGGTGAGGATGAAGATGAGGGTGAGGATGAGGATGAGGCTGAAGGCGAGGATGAGACTGAGGGTGAGGATGAAGGCGAGGATGAAGATGAGGGTGAGGATGAAGGCGAGGATGAGGGTGAGGATGAAGATGAGGATGAGGATGAAGGCGAGGATAAGGGTGAAGGTAAGATTGAAGATGAGGATGAAGGCGAAGGTTTCCGATAAAGATAAGAGTCAGAATAAATATGCAAGGGTGAAGAGGAAGGGATGAGAGGGAGATATAAGCTTAAGATAAAAAGTAAGGGTGAAAGTGCTGATGATAAAGATAAAAAAGTGCGACGTAAAAAATGGATGAGGGTATAAGTGATAATACTAATACTACTACTACTACTACTAATAATAATAATAATGAGTACAGTTAGGGTGAGGGTTAAACTGAAGGTAAGAGTGACTAAAAGAGTAAATGACGTAGGGAGAACGAGAGGAGAGAAAATGTTAACACTACCTTGTTCTTGTTTGTTCTTTCCTGTCAATTCCGTTCCCATTTTCAAAAGTTTGTTTAGTATTTAAAGCATTACAACACCGTCGTTAATATCATTACTTTTATATTCTTAATTTAGCAATACCAGTGTCATTAACGATACCACTGATATAATCAAACCCTAACAATTAATAATATATATATATCCTATTACACCAGGGGGTATCTGATGAAGCAAGTAAAAGATAAAATAAAAAATGATAAAAAAAAAAAACGTTCGTTGAATATAGAACCAGGCATAAAATGAAATAATTCGGACTTGATCATAAAATGACAATAATCATTCATGTTCACCATGGATTTTTTCGACAAACCAAAAACAGCTTTAAAAAACAACAACTCTAATATCAACATGCATTCGGACAGAAGAAAAAAAACTGCAAATAATCACAGGCTAAACACAATGCATGCAACATTATCTCAGGCATTAACAACAAGCAGTCACACGCCCCAGTTAATCATTATCTTTAATGAATAAGCAATCAAGCGGAAACCCCCACTCTTTAGCGTCCAGTTACGAACCTTATTGAGAGATTACAGAAGGACGAGAATTGCGCGAAGAAACGAGTGCCAAACTATCCAACCGCTCAAGTGCTCGTTTCGGAATTCCCACAAGACTTCCGAATAGTCGTTTGGATTCCCGAAGGATAATTTCGAATGTCTTAAAAGATGGCCGAGGGTTTTTGAAATCGTCGGGGCTGTTTAATGCCTGTTGCTTTGATCAAAATGGTAGGGGTTAATGGAAGGTGGTTTTCTGCGTGTAAAGATGACCACGGGAGGCGGGGGTTAAGGAACTGCGCTTGGGCCAACGCTGCTGAACTTTCCTTCTTTTTCTTTCTTTTTTTATCTGTATTTTTTAAAAATGTTTTTTTTTCTGAAGGACTACCTGTCAAGTCGGGTGTTTTTTTTTTTTTTTTTTTCTTCAGACGGAGAATCCTCCTTGAACTCTGCCAGCCGGTTTCGCAAGCCAGACGCTCGAGACGCATGATCGTCATGCACCATCAGCATAAACGATCGGCACATACCACTGCCATGCACCCACTATCGTCATGCACTATCATACACCATCACCACGCACTATCGCCATGCACCATCACCACCCACTATCGTCATGCACTATCGTACACCATCACCAAGCACTATCGTCATGCACCATCCCCATGCACCATCGCCACGCACGCTGCGATGATGTGTGGGGATAGTGTAGATTGGTGGTGCATGATGATGGTGCATGATCGATGGTACGTGATGACAGTGGTGTATAATGATGGTGCATGACAATGGTGCCTGGCGATGGTGTATAACAGTGGTGTGTGACGAGCGTGTATGACGGTGTATGGCGATGGTGCATGACGATAGTGCATGACGATAGTACGTTTCGATGGTGTATACTGATGTATGGCGATGCTGCGCCACGTTATAGTGCACCATCGTTATACACCATCGCCATGCACACAAAAAAATAAAATAAAATAACGCGAAAGTGATCGAATCTCGTTTTCTCTTCACCTCGATGCATCTCACTCCCGTTTTCTTCCTCGCAACGACCCCCAACACCCCATTAGTGAAGTGCTGGAGACAACACAAGCCCTTTAAGTGGCCGTCTAAAGTGTTCGGAGGAGCCCCCCATAGACGCGCACTTAACGCCGTAGTAATGGGCCTGAGATAAGGGAGATAAACAGGCAAACGGTTCATTTCCCCGTTTCTTACGTGGTGTATTTGGGGTCGGTGGGGGTAGGGATGAGGGGAGAAGGGGGAGAGGGGGAGGTTGCTGGGGGGTCACGCGTGGCATTTTTTTTTTTTTATTAATCTTTTAAATTTTGTAATATTTTTCGTATAGTCTTTCTGTCTGTTTGTTCTCTCTCTCTCAATTACCCCCTCCCTCCCTTTCTCTCTCTCTCTCTCCCCTCCCTCTTCTCTCTCTCTCTCTCTGTATCTCCTCTCTCTTCTCTCTCTACCTCCCCTCTCTCTCTCTCTCTACCTCCCTCTCTCTCTCTCTCTCCTCTCTCTCTCTCTCTCTCCCTCTCTCTCTCCCCTCTCCCCCCCCCCACCTCTCCCTCTCTCTCTCTACCTGCTATGTATCAATTTATCCTATAAATGGCAGCCGTCGTGCTCCTGCTGACAATGATGCTGACGATAACAGTGGTATTGGAGATGTAAATGATGATAACAAGAAGAGTAATGATGATGATTTTAATGAGAATATTGATAATGGCAATGATGATTATGGTGGTATTACTGAGAATAATGATGATGCTGATTATTATAAAGATGAGAGTACTGAGAATGGTGGTGATGGTGATAACGATGATGACGGTGGTGATGGTGATGACGATGACGATGATGATGATGATGATGATGATGATGATGATGATGATGATGATCAATGGTAATGAAAATAATGAAGAAAAAAACTAAAATTAAAGGGAAGAACTAATTGTTGTACAGCACTTTAGGTATCTTGTAATATATTTATATCACAAGATACCTTACACACACACACACACACATAACAGTACCATGGATTAGTTAATTCATATCGCCTCATAATCACAGGGATCCAGACGGTGTAAATAACTCGTAAACACGAGATAAATATACATGTCTTAGTAAGATGAATACAAGATAGCAGTATTATTATTATTAGTTGTTGTTGTTGTTGTAGTAGTAGTAGGAATGATAGTAGTAGTAGTAGGAATAGTAGTAGTAGTAAGAATAGTAGTAGTAGTAAGATTAATAGTAGTAGAAACAGTAGTAGTAGGAATAGTAGTAATAGTAGTAGTAGTAGTAGTAGTAGTAGTAGTAGTAGTAGTAGTAGTAGTAATAGTAGTAGTAGTAGCAGTAGCAGTAATGAACACCTAAAGGTCAAAATAGCAGGCAAAAGCCACATCTCAGCGGAAGGGGATGTAGCTCAAGTGGTAGAGCGCTCGCTTAGCATGTGAGAGGTACGGGGATCGATACCCCGCATCTCCAACTAATCTATTTTTTTATTATTATTATTTCAATGCAAGATACCACACATCTCCAAACAAGTTTTTTTTTTTAGTTTTTAAAACTTTTTTTATATGTTTTTTTTATTTTTAAACTCTTATGCCTCCAATATAACAAAAATGAGGATGGAAATAACAATAACAAACAAAAAGTTGCAACAGATATAGTAATAGCAACACTGCAAAATAATAACAAGAACAAAGACAACCATAACAACAACAATAATAATAAGTGATAATAATAATGGTGATGTGTTTTTGTTTTGTTAGTAATGATGATAATCATAACATCAACTAGAAAAGCACTCAGAGAGTGCAGACCTCCGCCAAGGTGCGTATATAATATATATACTTTGGTTGAGGATGAAAAGGATCAGACAGCTCGGAGTTTCTTCAAAAAAGAAAAAAAAGGCCCTCATACACAATTAAAAGGCAACAGTTTGCTTTTAATTGTGTATGAGGGCCATTTTGTGTACTTACACCGTTGCTGCGTCCAGACGGTAATTCGGAATGTCACCAAAATTTAATCAGTTCTAAGTTAGTCCCTTTCTGACTTGTCCCCAAAATTTCGATGAAATCCGGCCATCACTTTTTGAGCTACGCTGCTAACAAACCAACAAACCAATGCCGTCAAAAACATAACCTCCTTGGCAGAGGTAATAATCAGGATGATAGAGATAATAGTAATAGAAGTAGTAGTAGTAGTGGTGGTAGTGGTTGCAGTAATAATAGTAATATTAGTGGTAATAGTAGTAGTAATAATAATAGAAGTAATAATAATAGTAGTAATAATAATAGAAGTAATAATAATAGCAGTAATAATAATAATAGCTCATATATTATATTCCATCTGTTACAATAGTTATTCTTGGTGCGACATTCTGTCTGTTTCATTTTGGTTCTAAAGTACCCCCTGTGTGCAAGAAATGGCCGGGGCTGCCATCCACTGGCAGCGCGGGATTTGAACGCGGGTCAGCAAGGTTTCTAAACGAGAACACTACCGCTGCACTACACACAACAGCAGCAAGAATAGTAGTAATAGTAGTAGTAGCAGGAATAATAGTACACTACTAGTAGTAGAAGTAGAAGTAGTAGTAATAGTAGTAGTAATAATAATAGAAGTAATAATAATAGTAGTAATAATAATAGAAGTAATAATAATAGTAGTAATAATAATAGAAGTAATAATAATAGTAGTAATAATAATAGAAGTAATAATAATAGTAGTAATAATAATAGAAGTAATAATAATAGTAGTAATAATAATAGAAGTAATAATAATAGAAGTAATAATAATAGTAGTAATAATAATAGAAGTAATAATAATAGTAGTAATAATAATAGAAGTAATAATAATAGTAGTAATAATAATAGAAGTAATAATAATAGTAGTAATAATAATAGAAGTAATAATAATAGTAGTAATAATAATAGAAGTAATAATAATAGTAGTAATAATAATAGAAGTAATAATAATAGTAGTAATAATAATAGAAGTAATAATAATAGTAGTAATAATAATAGAAGTAATAATAATAGTAGTAATAATAATAGAAGTAATAATAATAGAA